AATTGAGTAAATACACTGACTACTATACGGTGTGAAAACACGATTCCTTAAAATTTTCGCCATAGAAAAAAATATCACAAACTTCCCTCCCGAAATTTTACAAGAAAACCGCTGTATTTCAATAGGTAATTTACATATACCTACCAATGATTTATTACTTATGATATTTCAAATGGATTTAATTTCGTTTGTCTACTCATGGTACCACGATTTCGTTTAACGAAGGTAAACAATTCTTTTATGGGGAAGTGTATACGTTTTTACAATAAGATTCCGGAGCATATATTAAGTTTATCATTTCCTAAGTTTAAACTTTTTTAAACTAAACTTAAATTTTTCGATCAAAATATTTTTAATGTAGTTTTTAACAACTACATTAAAAATATTTTGATCGAAAAATCATGTTACATAATTGAAGACTACGTGTTAGATAAAAATGTATGGAAAGACGACATGGCTCCAGAATCCACACAAATTTGATTCAAAGTGTATTCCATAGCATTTAAAGTTATTTGAAAAGAGCAATCCCTAGAGTTTCTTGCTCGTTCTTCTCAGGGAGGTCAGCGTAGTGAACGAGCAGTAGCTTAAATGTGACGTTTTCAAGTGTAAATCTATTTTACCTATGGAATAAATAATCTTTGACTTTGACTTTGACTGTAAAAGCTGAGGTAGAATCGACTCTTTCATCACCATTCATCATTCAGCCATACGACGCCCACTGCTGGACATAGGCCTCCCCAATGATCTCCACGACGATCGGTCCCGCTCTGCCTGCATCCATCCTTCGCGGGAACCTTCACCAGATCGTCGGTCCACCTTGTGGGGGCCTAACACTGAGCGTCGTCGTTTCCTCCCCAACGGCCATCGGTTCTCTTAGCTATGTGCCCCGCCCAATGCCACTTCAGCTGAGCACTTTTTCGAGCTATGTCGGTAACCTTAGATCTCCTACGGATTTCGTCATTTCTGATTCTATCACGTAGGGAAATTACCGAGCATCATCGCTTTCTCCATTGCCCGCTGAGTCACCTTGAGCCTTCTTATGAGACCACGTTGCTGATCCATATGTGATCACTGGCAACACACACTGATCAAAGACTTTCGTCTTGAGACACTGAGGTTCTTTCCTATGAAACTTACCTATGTATCTGAGGATTCCAACGAAAAAAGAATCGTCGATCGAATCAGTTTACAAACGTCTGGATAATCGTGTAACATAAACACAAAAAATGCAGCCGAATTGGAAACCTCCTTTTTTAAAGTCTGTTAAAAATATAGTAAATACAATTATATCGAGTTCTTAGGTTTTCGCGATTGTTACACATAGGAAATGAAACTATTTTTCCGGATTTAAGTCGCGTCTATTTCTTTTTTCAAACAATCCGACGTTTCGGGACCTTTACAGGTCCCATTGGAATTAAAAAACATATTAATTTCAACAGGGAACATGATTTCTCCGTACCACCAGTTTGGGATCCAGTATTTCCTTTGATGGAAAATCCCAAACAGACAAGAGACTGCAGTACTAATTAATATGTTTTAATTTATTCTAATTCCATTATTAATTAATAATAAATTTAACTTAATAAAAAATTAATATTATTCGAATAAAATAATTTGTAAAACAATGTAGCGTAAATTGGAATGTTTCTTTGTAAAATTAAAAATAAAGTATTTAATTAATAACTTTTGTAAGTATAGTGATAAAATGCTGGTTTGCATTAATATTAGACATAACTGGTTGATGACTGTACCACCTCAGTCAACCGCGACCATGGGACCTGTAAAGGTTCCGAAACGTTGATTTGTTTGAAAAAATAAATATACGCGATTTAAATCCGGAAAAATAGTTTCATTTACATAGTTAGCATTTTAATTAGTTAAATAATTTTTTGTTCAAATGCTAAATGCTTTAATAATATATTGCACGAGGTTTATAAGTTTTGTTTCAACACATATCAGTAGAACAAACTCGTATGCGAGGTTTTCAATCTATACGACGAAATAGTTTTGTACAAGGTCAATGCACTCCACCGCCAAAAAGCCTTATTTTTACACTGTATAAACGTCATCCTCATTGTATATTGTTTGTAAAAATTGTAAATGTTTAAATAATATTTGTACATGGTCAAGATCACATCAAACTGGTCACTTAAGATTTAAATATAATCCCATACCGCTTACTTACGATGTGTTCTCGATAGTACCGTATCATAATCAATCATTGTTATAAAATAGTAAAGGTATAAATAAAGGTATTTAACTATAAAGCCTTTTATTGCTATTGTTTTATAGTGGCTCTAGTGAAAAGGCGTACAAGTAAAAAAAGCCAACTTTCCAAAGAGGCGCGAAAAACAGTTCCAGTCTCCTTGTTAAGTTGGCTTTTTTGACTTATAACCCTTGTCACTAGAGCCACAATTATTATATATTATATAACATAAAGTGACAGATAGCCAGATAATACGACGACGACCTTCGTGGTCGAGTGACTTGCATACTGTTTTTCATGGTGTCTCCTTAGAATAATAACGCATAGAAACCTAGTCCACACACGATAAGTGAGGCAAATTGAAGCGCGCCAAAAGGGCCTACACGAGCGGGCGGGCCTTCAGTGTTCAAGATAAACTTGCACCGCGAACAGCTCCAGAATTTTAGCTAAAAATGACGAAATGTGCGGTAAATCAGTGTAAAAATACGTCAGACAAACATAAAATAGATACTAACATCACATTCCACAAGGAAGTAACGCGTTTCAACTTGTATTTTTATATAAATATTCACTAAAACCGAAAATTAACCTACTACTAAAACTAGCCTACATGAATTTGATTTTGCCTCACTTGTGACAGTTCGTTTGATATGAAACTATCATTCTATGCGTTGTTATTCTAAGGGTGGAGACACCGGGTTCGATCCCCGGCCGGGTCAATGTAGAAAAACTAACTTTTCTAACTAGTCTCGGATCTGAGTGCTTAAGGTACCGTCGTTGTTACCAATTTCCATAACACAAGTGCTTTAGTTACTTGCTTTGGGATCCGAGCAACGTATGTGATGTAGTCTAATATTTATTGGTTTATGTTTATTATTTACATCAATAACATTGTCTGTAACTATTTTTAGCAGGATTAGAGATCCTTGTGAAAGAGTTCGTCCAGGGAAGTACTGCCACCTTACCTATTTCTGCCGCCAAGCAATGATGTGAGCATTACTGCGGTCCGGTTTTGAAGGGTAAGGGTGCTGACGACATTACAGGCACATGGGACTTGTGTCTCAGGGTGACAGGCGCAGTGGCTGTACCCCTCAGATCTTTGCGAAGCTCTGAGTGGCATTACAACTGTTATGGACAGGCGTGTAGCTTGTTCACACTTGTTCGTCCGGTTACTTGATATTATAAAAAAAAGGATTTTGGAATGGAATTCCGACACACTGAAAGAAAAGTTTATTTCACGAATTTGTTCTGCCGGGATTCGTACGCAGGACCTCTTCGTCCGACACCTATAGTGCAAACCGCTTAGCTACCGAGGTCGTAGGTGGCCCAACGCTTATAATTGTAATTCAAAAGTAATAATTGATGTCGAGAATTGGGAAGAAGGGAAAGAATTTATGTGTCTAGGTACTCTATTAACATTAAATGGTAAGTATGGTGATATTGAATAGATAATAAAAATAAAAAGTCAGGAAAATGGAACTCTGTACGCCTTTGTAGAGGTAGCACGTTTTAAAAAAGTGCATCTGGCATCATCGAGGCATCCTGGTCGCGACCTTATCGCAAAACATATACCTAAACCCCAATAGAAAAACAAAGCTTCAAAATAAATCCCAACAAATATATCAAAATACTTGCCTAACCAAACAGATATATAAAATCTTCGCATCTCTACATATTATGTACAATATAAATGTTATTAACCTAACGCTCATTTAACTTAAACTTTTTTCATATAACAATTGTTTAAAAGAAACTTAGGGTCGTATTCTAGAATTCTACTCAATGCTCAAGTCAGGACTTGAGTATAATTCAAAGCACTAGAAATCATACTCAAGTCCTTGCCATTAGGGTCGTATTTCCAGTGCTTGAAATCATACTCAAGTCTGCTCAAATCCTGACTTGAGCATTGAGTAGAGTTCTGGAATACGACCCTTAGATTCATTCTATAGTTTCATTTTTGATAACAATCTAATGATTGTTAGGGTTAATACCCTAACACTGATTTTCAGTAACAATTATAAGTTATAAACCACGGTTTTCATAACTAAATATATTATTAAAGTGACCTAAAACATGTCCAGATATGCAAATACATTCTGGCTGCTTTTCCGGTATACTTATTTATTTATTTATTTATACCAACCTAACCTACTAAAGGAGGGGCCGCATAGGTATTACTGGTATAGGTGAACACGTCATAAAAATTATCTGAATTCATAAAAAAAAACCCAACTTCTAAAGTTCGTGGAATTACATCTATTTGCCAAGTTTTATTGATATCAGTTACCGGAAAGTGCGTCAAACCGGTTTCATGCCCTGGTTGGCAACCCTTAGAGGTGGAATATTTTCTTCAAATTTAATTGAGACCACTACTGAGGTACCTTCTTCCAACAAAAAAAGAATCATCAAAATCGGTGACAACTTATCGCGTAACATACGTACGTAAAAAAATCGAATGAGAATCTCCTTGTTTGAAGTCTGTTAAAAATGTATGTATGGAGACAAGACTATATTTTAATAGCGAAAGCTTTCAGTGGACTTGAAAGTGTCGGCTAGAATTAAGATTGGACTTGGGGTGGAAGGAAGCCTTCCCGCACCACGATACACTCCTTTTCTGAGCCTTTTGCGCACCCTGAGCCAACCAGCGAGTACCTTAAGTCGATTGCCAAATCCTTTCACCACGATATGGCAAGCATTATAGTGTATACCATCGATTCGATAAGAAGTTTAGACTTGTTAATTGTATACAAAAATAATACTTCCCCTTTATAATCCCTTATCGAGAATGTGCCTAGCCTATAATAAATGAATAACATCAGTTTTTGACAAAAACATCTACAGATTTACAGTATTCAGAATCACTTAGTATCCTCTTCTCATCCGTCATCATTTGTATTTGTATATATATTATTTATTTTTTATCCATATACGTTGAAGAAACTGTTTGATTACTTTTTAATATTATATTTACCAGCTGAATAATCATGCTGTGTGTACAATATGTTAGGTTTACATCCTAGCTTAAAACTAAATAAATTGTAATGTTGATTGGAGTAGGTACCATTGAATGTAAACCGTTTTGTGCATCAAATAAATAAATTACGAATACTAATTATAGTCAGCATCATAATAGTCCGTCTATTCCTGGTGTATTCGTGTTTCTATAGAGACTGGATACATCCATAACGATCTACTCGATATCATGAGTTTTTTACACGTACTGTCACCATGTTAAAGAGCCGATGCCTGATTGGAGACGTGTGTTATACGTATGTATTAAAAATAGTAGACTAGAACTGCACGAAATTTAACTGAAATTAATTATACTTAGCAACAGTTGGTTCGTCAACTCGGGAAGACAAATACTCTCAAGTGAAAAAGATCACGGCGGCCGGGCTTGATATTTGTTTCCCGGTGAAAATATAAAACCGCCAACCTAACTAGACCTCGGCCTAGGTTCTTGCTTACCTATGTTTATATTGTTGGTTGAAAGCGAATAACTATGGGAGTTCAGAAATAACTGGTCGTTTGAATTCTCGCCCAGGGAAGTATAAATAGACATTAGCGTAAGAACACGCTCGCGTTCTAAATTCAAAATCGTCCGGCGCCCGCGCAGCCCGGACTGAAGCCGAATTGTGTTCGAAATTCGAATGTAGCATTTGAATTTCGATTTATTTACCGACCCCGACTGGAAAGGCCACCAGGGGGATTTACGTAGAGTAAAAAGTTTCTGGAATTTTCCACGGATTTTGGACCGAATCTTTGTGTTTTGTGTTTATGTGAAAATGTGTGATATGTGTATTCAGCGCTGATAAGAAGATACACGGATTTATTATTTGTGACGCAAGTGGTAAGTACATCATTAATCATAACGTATGTTATTTTCGTATACGTCAACATTTTCATATTTTCTGGAACATGTAATTCTCTAAGAGGTTAGCTATTATTTCTTTGTTATTTACTTATGATATACTGATAATTATAGGCGGAGTTACTTTTAGAAACAACATAAAAATAAAGCCCTACCATATAATATTACTTTCATCTGAAGGTACAGAAAAGGTTTCGGATCAAAAATACGCAATTTAATATGACACAAAATTCCCAATCTGCTTAGTATCATACTGGTGGTTATGGTACTATAAAAGGACCATGAAAACTGAGCTCGGAATATAAATTATGGACTGAGTAGAGCTACTTTTTATATCACTAGCGCTAAAGCATAAAACTACTTATGATAAAATTAAAAGCAATATAATTAGTGCGAAGTGGTTGTGTAACGATTTTGTTTTACAAGAGACGATAAATTTGGACTTGAACAAATGCCGGTGACTAAATTCCACGATTGACGGTAGGTATGTCAGCGTTTTAGAATATTCTAGAGTTTTTCTTAAGAAAATAGCAGCGTTTGTCGTATCGTATTTATTCGAGTTGTTTATTGGTAGACAAATTTATGTAAAATTAGTAATTTACCTCCACCCATGGACATATTAGAAAAAATATGAAATTTAGAGACACGCTAAAAGAAACTTGAATTATGTTAACAAGGCTCATATGAACTACAGTACACTACAGTACTGGTACATATGTACCAGAACGTTAAATTTGAAAAAAGAATGATTTCAACCGCCTTTCGATTTTAATTAAACGTTCTGTTTTGTGTGGTCAATGGTTCATATGAACCTTGTTATCATAATTCAACCTTCTTTTAGAGTGTCTCTAAATATGTTCATATTTTTTCTAGGGTTGTATGTTTTTTTGTATATATGTAACTCTATAATAATGTATATGTAGTATATTATGTATTAAATTCGTATTTAGTGAGCATATTTGTTGCGCCCTCAGTTAATTATTATCTTTAGATTAACCTGTAAACCGGAGGTTAACTAGAAGAGATTGCTATCTAGCAATTAGGCCGCCAGTTGTACCTATCTCTTGTTTATATTTTATGTGTGTGTTCTTGTGTGCAATAAAAAGTAATTTTATTGTAAGCAATCTATAGTGTTCAAATAATACCACAAAGTTGAGAACTTTTGTACAAAAATGACGAGTTTTTGAAGCCTTATAATTCTGAAGTAAGTTGGTAAGGGTCGGGCCTACCAAGGCGAACTTACCATGACTAAATTGAGGACGTCCTTTTCCGATACAGACCATGTCAAGAGTACACTAATGCATGTCGTTGATGTAAACGATAAGTATGTGTCAGGATCGTAGTAAGTCAGGGTCTCTTAATCTATTTGTAGCCATAAACCCCTATCAAAATTTCAAAGAACCCATCGACTCTCCGAAAAAATAACGAAGAACTTGTTGCGGTCCACGGATAAACCTACGCAGGTTTTTGTTGTGCTGCCAGGTTTAGATAAATAAGCGTTATTTTTTTTTAAATTATTAATAATAAATAGAAGAATAAGAGAGGCTCGCGGGTTGAATTGACGCGCGTCTCGCTCGCTCCTACAATGGATAGTCGTCAATGGGCGCGAAAATTCAAAAAGGTCACGTGCACTGCGCCTATTTAGTACTCACAACATATTGTATGCCAATTTTTATATTAACGCAACATGTTAGGTAGCTCGTCGTGGAGCTCTGGCGTTCATTACACCGAGTCCGTGGGCCACACGTTAAGAAACCCTGTAGTATGTAAGTGGGAGGCTGTTATCTCCGTTATAATATATATGTATATATATATATATATATATATATACACACCCATGTATATGTAACTCAGAAACTGTATAATTTGCGACAAACAGATAAACTATGATGTTAAATATTAGTAAGTTTTATTACTTATTATAGAAAGTAAGTTACATCTTCGTTCGCACGCTCGCAGACTGTCGTCCTTATAATCTTACAACTTGTTATAATATTAATTACGAGTAACCTCGCTTTGAGGTTGCCGATATGATGGTACGAGAATATCGTGAGAAATCATGTCGGTAAAGATAGTAAATAATTTTCAGAATGAGTCAGTTGGCTAGTAAAAGTATCATTGGGTTACTTTTGATCTAGGATCGCCTCAATGCAGAGGCGGCGGGTGGCGTCGAACTGCGCCAGGCGCACTTTATACAATGCAATATAGTATAGAACATATTCTCTAAAGTATAAGGTATACTTTTTTTTAACAAAAAGAAGAGAACATGTATTACGTGCACTTTCATAATAATACACATCAATTTAGTAGCAGTAGAGCTCCCTGTGAAAGTGTTTGTCCAGGGAAATCCTGCCACCATATCTATTTCTGCCACCAAGCAGTAGCTGTAATGTGTAATGTAAGCAGAGTAGCTGGTGAAACTACAGGCATACGATATTTCTTATCTTTAAGTCAAGTTAAAGCTCTGAGTAGCACTGCAACTGCTTTGGATAGACGTGTCGCTAAGGACGCGTTCCCATTATGTCGTAACATTTTATAGTTGGACGACTGTCGCGTCTAGCCTGTTCCCTTAGCACATCTATCTTTCGTGACTGTATCGTGGACTTTTTTATCGTTCACCGACAAGTCATGCCTAGCTATTCTCTCTGGATCGTGACGACAATTTATCGTTTCACGGCATCTGCCTTATCGTTTGTAGATATGAGACGACGATAATAAAGCGTGACGACAATACATAGTAGCTGCGATTATCTGTCGTCACAATAGATCTTGACCTTTTATTTATCGTTTGATGACTGTCGTACTAGCTCTTCCCATTGTCTCGACAGTCTGTCAATGTAACGTCAAATAAAGTTGTGAACGACATTTAATCATGTATGTGAACAGCTTCATTTAAATATACAAGTCACGACACTTAAACTACAAGTCTATCTGTCGTCAAACGCAACGCACCCTAACCACTAGTCGCACGACTTGCTCATCCCATTGCTTGATAGATAAAAAATCAGAAGTGGGATGTTGTTGTGCTTAGATATAAATATGATAAGTACGTGTATGTAATGTATTATTATGTGTTTCGAATTAGTCTCGTTTTCAATAGTATTTTCGTTCTTCATTTTTTGTTTAAGATATCTGCTGTTTCTCTTCTGTACATCGTCTTTTGTTTTTGCTTCTTACAGTCCCTGTTGATGGTTTGGTAATTCCTTCAAAACTAACGGCTTATTAGAATGCATCTTCAAACTCTATCCTGCATTTTATTATCCCTTTCAGTCATTACTGATTGTACTCGTTCTATCAGATTGATCTTGACATTATTAAACACCTATAAACATCTACGCCAAAAGATCTAGATTAATAGCGCTCATTTATTCTTGATGGCTTACAGGCTATTACAGATTTATGTTCATCGGTATCAAAAAATTTATATTTCGCCAGCGACTTTGTCTGCGTTAAATTATGAATATTGAGCAGATATACATACGATCACTGTTTTTTACTATTAAAAATAACAGATGATCAAACGAACTTCTTGAAGTGAAGTTCGGTCACTATTATGTCGGTCGCTTCATTCGAAGATATAATATTTAACCAGGTAGTTTCCTTAATTTGCTAGGCAACACCGCACGGTTTTTAGAGAAAAAATGTTTTGTTTATTAAAATACAATGTTTGAAAACTGCGACAAGCAAATACTTGGATCCTCTCTAAAATATGGAAAATTTAATGTGGGCTGTACGCGACCAGGCGCAGACGTTTTGATTAAATCAGGTATTGCAATTTTAATCGGAATATCTGATATTTGTATGTTTTTCATTTTAATCAATACCAGTTTGTACGCGTGTGCAATACAAAGTGCAAGTAAAATAACATGCTTTTTCGTAAGTTTTTCAAGAGGAAGTTCTGTGTTGGGAAGCCACGTTGAAATTAATGCGAGAACGACTTGGGGATTCCAAGTATTGCTATACTTTGGTGCACTGGGTTTCAATCTAAATGCGCCCTTAAGTAATCTTTTTATGCGGGCGTCGGAGCCTATTTCAGGCTATAAAAGAGATAAAGCAGACTGTTATTATTGCAAAATTCCCACCAGAGCTTTAGGGACACATTATATTGTCGAATTGTATTTTAAGAAAGAGAAGCTAAGGGTAAAGTCATCGCCTCTTGTGGGACTCCGCGGGATGCGAAGGGCGCGCTGATAACGGCAGAAAGGGGGCCTGCAATAAGATTTAGTAATGATTCACTTGAGTTAAAATATATCACGTCGGAAACCAACAGGCTTTGCAGCAGAAGGAACCATGGCTGGGAAGGCCAATATAGAAAACCAAGATTACCATTTGCTTGGTCATCTATAAGTTTGCGTATGCATTTCAATAATTTTATTATATTTTATTAAAAGTAACGCGGTTATCACAAATTATAATATAAAAGTGACGGGACTTACTCGCGTAGTATTTTAGTCGGAAGTGGTCGGACTAGTTTCGACCATAATCGATGGTCTTCTTCAGGGGTTGCAACGCAACATGAACCTGAACCTGTGCAACGGTCGCGACCGCGTCACGTCTAGCACTGCGCGCTGCGGCTCTTTGCGCGCGCGCCGATGACGCAGTTCGCAGTCGGGAGGCTGATACGTTGCGCCAGCGCGTCCTGGAACTCTTCTTCGCTACTGCTGTCCGTAGGATTGTTGTCGGGAACAGTCCAGCACACAGAGCTCACCACGTCGTTACTACTAACATCTGCAGCTGCATACCGAGCGCCATGAAGACACGGCTTCCAGGTCGGTGGCAAGCTCCAGCCTCCGTCTCTTTTAAAATTTGGTCGCCTACTTATTTCAATAGCCTCTCGGATTTTGCGGGGCACAGAATACTTCTCTCGCGCTAAAACCTTAGCTTTATCAAACCGAATATAGTGACCAGCACCGGAGCTCAGAAAGTGGTCTGCCACCACAGATCCATTGATATCTTGGTTCTTCATGGATCGGATATGC